TTTATAGGCAATCCTGCATAGGGTTGGGCTGAAGAGTTTCTTGAAAGGCTGGTCTTTTCCTTATTTTATTATTATTTTTTACTAAAAAACTGCATAGGATTAGGCTGCAGAGTCTCTTGAAAGGTTGATCTTTTCCTTATTTTATTTTATGCTATATTTCTTTCTTAGAATAAGGGGCTATTTGCCATTTTATTTTGGCTCAAGTGCCATATGCTTAAACCATCCCATCAGACATAGAGAGCAATTCAGGTTTACTGGTGTGTGAAAGAATTTGAATTTCCATGCTTTCTGAAAGTGCTGGAAGAGACTATTAGTCTTCAACAGGTTTATTTCTTTAATGCTTACTCATTGAAGAGTGATTGATAATCATTGCCTCTTTAAGTGCCTTAAATGCATTACTAGGAAATTCTGTAGTTACATGCTTGCTCTTTCCACCTACTTTCTTTTGTGCATCCAATCAATGGTGCCACTTGTTCTTCTTCAAAATCAAATGATAACTGGGGCTCTTTTGACACAATATTTGTTAAAAGTGAGTTTGAATTTACATGCAATTGCCTAGATTACCCCATCTAGAGGAAGCTCGAATCCACCATTTTTCCCCCCAGAGAGAAGCAATCTTGAATTTTTGTTTTGCTTTGTTGAACTACCCAAAGAGGATGGAGGTAATGGTTTCATTTGGGAGATTTATTTTTTTTAATATGGAATCCTTATAAAAGGTTCCAGTGTAATGCACACATCTTGAAAATCATAATAAGGAAATGCATTTCCTCTTGTTTTTAGAGGAGATTCAGATTTTGCAGTGGAAACTACTCAATATGTGACAGGCTGTGACCATATGCCTCCTAAAATGAGAGAAAGCTTCATAGATTTGCCTTAACTGCAGAAGATTGTGCAGCCCATACCTTGAATCTGAATAGTATTCCAGATTGCCCTTTTTTTTTTCCTGCGCACTAATATTAATTAACTGAATAATTAGAACACTATCAATATTTTTATAATAGGCACAGGAAAGAATACATTTATAGACATTTGGGGCTTCTGTCAGATGTAAATGCCTTATTCTCCAATGTGTAAATAATGTATATATGGAACATCAGAGGTTAACTTATTCTTTGGACTTTAATGTATTCATAACTTACCACTCCCATTCCTAGCTCCACCCCTTGTATATATAAGGAGCCACCCTCACCATTCTCGTCGCTTCTACCTTGAATATTCAGTGAATATAGAATGCCTATCATAATTAAAAAGAAATATATTTAAAGCTTTAACTTCTATTATCTTTATTGAGTCTGATCCTGAAAATATTGCAACAGCTTCATCTGTTGCCATACTGTTGGTTGATTGTTTAATTGTTTTCAAATTACTTCAAATTGTTTTCAAATTACTATAATGTAATAATATGAATTGTCCTAGGATCTATTTTTTAAAAGGGCTAAATCTAAACATTATAAATGTTTGTAAATATTGTAAATATAATTCCACTACTGGCTAGCAGACCTCAGAGGGAATAAGCATCTCCTCAGACTACAAACATTCCTCATTCATATTTTTTGGCCTGATATACAGCCCTTGATCACAGGCAGAATCCAAACCTTTCTCTTTGCTACAAAGAGCAAAAAAACAGGAGCAGAACTCTCAGAATTTATATATTTCTACATCAGGGGTGTCAAACTCAAGGCCCGCGGGCCGGATCTGGCCCACCAGGTGCTTAGATCTGGCCCACAGGGCCAGCTTGGAAATAGCACGATGCCTCTGCTACTGAAAATGGGGCGTGGGGGGCCCAGCATATACCCCCATTTTGACTGCCGGAGTGCTGCAGGAGACTCTCCAGGCCCAAAATATGGGAGGGGGGTACGTGCCCCGTTTTGTGTGCTTCAGGAGGCCGTCCTTGACTCAGAACATTATAAAAGAGAGGAAAAGTAAAATATTTTACCTTTCAGGCTTGCAGGATTCTGCTACTGTAGTCTATGTCAATAATTTATAGTTCTAGTTTTCCTAGGGAGTCAGTTTCTTGATCTGGTCTCTCTCTCATAGGGTGATCAAGCAGATCAAGAATGTATTAAAAAAAACAAAATCACAGACATGTACGCCTCTCTATTTTTATAAGTGTATAAAACCATGTGTGCGGAGGTGCAATCCCGTGTTATACCCACCTTGGCCATGCCCCTAGCCATGCCTTGCCCCACCCCGGCTACAGCCCCCCCACTTCCTGGCCCTCTGAGGTCAAACACAACCCTGATGCGGCCCTTGATGAAATCGAGTTTGACATCCCTTTTCTACATTTATTTGCAACCAATTTGATCTGTTATATACATCTGTATTCTCTCTCTCTCTCTCTCTCCCTCTCTCTCTCTCTCTCTCTCTCTCTCTCTCTCTCTCTGTGTGTGTGTGTGTGTGTGTGTGTGTGTATAACACAAATCACTGCAGTCATTATCTCTGGCCCATCCAGGATCAAATATTCTTGTTTGATTCTTGATGATAAAACTTTTCCTTAAAATTTTAATTGAGAACTGAGAACAATTCATCTCACTTCCCAGAATCATAAACCTCTGTTTTGAATATCTCTGCAGCACCCATTGTTCAAAAAGCTTCTCTATAAATGAAAACATGGCATCTCTTGTCAATGGTTGTCTGGCTAAATATAATGAATCCATTTTCCAAAGTCGATCCAAGAAAGTCCAGTCCATTACTCATCAATTTCATCATCTCTGAGTTTCTTATGTCCGTGCCCCTTTCAACTTTCTCCACCAAGCCTGCAATTCTCAGACCAGGCTCTTTTTTTCTTTAAATTTGGCAGTGCCAGACCAGATTCCAGTCCATCAGGCTGCAAATCAAGTCCATCTGTTATGTTCTGCCTTTGACTGTCACCCTGGGATTGTCAAAACCATTGCTGACCCATCAATTTTTTTAAATTAAAGTTTTCAAATAAAACTTTTAAGCTAAAGAGCATTTTTTTCCAAAAGCTTCCCAGAGAATTTCTACCTGTATTTTGTCTAATTTTGTTTTCTTTCTTTTTTTGGAGTTTGTATTCTAAGTTTCTGAATAAAAAAAAAAATTGCTAAAAAAAATTATGGGCAGAGCTCCAGCTGTGAAATGAGGCCAGAAAAACCTAAAATAATTCTCAGATTAAAGTTGGGGAATTTCCAAGATGCTGAAAGAATCCAGGTAAATGAAGCACAATGAATATCTAGTTCAAAAGTGTACTAATTCTGTAGTATTAAGTATAATGTTGAGCCAGGAAATAATGCTAATTGTTTTATGCTTCTATAATGCTAAAGCTCAACATTTTTAGTTATTTGTAAAAATTATGAATTTAGCATATAACCTTACCCCTTTATCACACTGTATAGGAAACGTTTTTTTTTTTATTTAGACAGTTATTTTAATCTATAATGTTAACTTGAATTTTCTAAGCAGCCAAGAAATTTGACTGTTAAAATGGCCTTGCTTTTTTGCTTTTTAAAACTGTCAGTAAGGGAGTACAGGTTGTGAGGGTCCTATGTCTCTTAAGGGTCAAGCAGACATCTCTGGTACTGCACCTGAAGGAACACATGCATCTATCATTCAAAGACAGTTGCATAGCTGTTGGATTCACATGCCTACAAATTTTAACATTCTGGCTTGGGAGCAGTCAAACTACAAAGCCCAGAACAGGAAGTTGGATCGACCAATCAGCATGAAGGATGCATATCCCCACTGGGAGTATTCGTATTGGTCTATCTTGAATCCAGGGGTGAAATACAGCAGGTTCTGACAGGTTCTGGAGAACTGGTAGTGGAAATTTTGAGTAGTTCAAAGAACCGGTAGCGGAAATTTTGAGTAGTTTGGAGAACCGGCAAATACCACCTCTGGATGGACCCAGAGTGGGGTGGGAATGGAGATTTTGCAATATACTTCCCCCAGGAGTGGGGAGGGAATGGGGAGTTTGCAGTATCCTTCCCCTGGAGTGGGCTGCGAATAGAGTTTTTGCAGTATCCTTCCCCTGCCACGCCCACCAAGCCACACTATGCCCACAAGCCACACCACACCTACCAAGCCATGCCCACAGAACCAGTAGTTAAAAAAAAATTGGATTTCACCACTGCTTCAATCTATGCTTACCCATCAATTTCTTCGCAGGGTAGGTATGCGATGATGGCTACGGGCAGTAGTGGGAGCAACTCTAAATTTAGTTTACAAGCTAGAGTTAGGATTCCAGGCAGGTGCCATTTTAGAAACATCAACAATGAGAACTACCAAGCTGCTATCCAAAAACAGGAAGCAGAATCAGAGAGTTTTTGAGAGAGAAGCACCTTCCGTCCTGCAGACTCAGTTGGTCCACTGCACTATATATTTCAAATATACAAATACATGTAATAATCCTCAAGGCCTTACTTGGGTGGATAAAACAGTTAAAGTGTCAGCATATAAATGTTGTTTTGGATAGATTGCTTTCACCTATTGTTCCCTTCCTGGTACAGGTTTGATATTTCAGTCGTATTAAAATATTGTCATCATAGATAGGACAAAAAAATGATCTGGATTTATTACTAAGCCTCTGGGCCATCTTCACTAGAGCAACGATTTCTGACTCCCATTATTTACCAATAACAAGAAATGACACCCTTCTCACATGTACATCTTAAATTAGGATTACAGGATCTGAATCTGATTCTGCAAATGTTATGTAGGCAGAAGTGAGAATGAAGAGGAATAGATAGTCCCAAAGGTATATCTAAAATATAAATCCTTGAGATTTACTGTGTTGTATAAGATAATAGCTACTATGTCATCAGCTGACAATGCCCATGCACGCAATAGGGAAAGATGGAGTAGATTGCTTTTGTAATTAATTTGTATTATTTAAAATTAAGGAGAAAAAGATTGACAGGATAACTTTCCTCCTGCTGAATCGGTTGTCTATCTGTTTTTCATCCTTTTAGGGAATTGTAAGGATTTCTTTTTACATAAGAAAAAATATATATGTTAACAACTATGCCTTTCTATACATTTCCTACCTTGACTTTCCAGAGGTCTTTGTGGACAAGAAAGCTGATGATCTGCAGCTAAACGGGTGTAGCAGAAAGGTTGCAAATCTTTCACTTGATCTGAATGTCTCAGAATGGCCAGGGATGCTGAAGTTTCAGCTAAAATCTTGAAAAGAAAAAAGAAAAGGGAAAAAAAAAGAGTTGTTTTTCAATCCAACTTTGTAGTTGTCAAGACATGCACCTAGTATTTTACAACTGTATTACATTTAATATTCTGGATGGTCTCTGGCAAGATTCAGTGCTAGATTGGAGAGTCTTCCCTAAACTGGTCCCTCCAGATGTATTCAACTACAACTCTCAACCGGCATGTCTATCATATTTGGAGGGATTCAGCCAGGGAAGTTAATAGTACCTTAGAATTCTGTCTAGTGAATCCAGTTCTGTTGAGCCTACATTTGAGTGGGCCAAGCCCTGTGAATTTCCTTAGCAGCTGTGTTTTGCAACAATGTCACAAGCCTTGTTTATTTATTTATTTATTGGTCCTTCCTACTACCTGTTTCCCTCCCTGGCACAGAAAAACTGTGAATAATGGCATATGATATATGCTGATTTTTGCTCAAAGTTAATTTGTATCTTTAGAAGTAAAAAAAAAGCCATAGGAAGGTATTAATCTGCTTAACATTTCTAAGTACATCATCCAAGGGATTTTGCTTTTTTAATCTTACATATGCTCAGCAGAGCTACTGGCAAAAACTGTACATTTTCTTCATTTCATCCTTGCAACATCAAATGGTAAGCAGCAAAAATTGGATCAGACTTCAAAGACGGCTGTGCTCCCAGTCACAGAGCGACTCCTCCATTTCACATATTGAATTCAAACAGGATATCAAAGTGCTACCAAAGAACCTCAGGTCCTTGTGAAAAAAAAAAAAAAAGAGGATCTCACATCTGTAGAAAGTGAAGTGCGCAGACAAATCACCTCAGGGACCAGCTAACATTTATTCACAGCAGCAGATTTCCAGCCTTTTGATTCCGTTGTTCACTTGTACCTCCCTGTCTTTCTACAGAACAAAAGTTCTTAGCAAGCAAGGCTTTTGTCTCCAAGACTTGAAAATATTCCTAATGGTTTCATATTCTGACAGTTGTGCCAAGTAACTGTGAACATGCTTCTGAACTGTAGATTTAGGGATCTTATATCATTTTAGAGACTGAATGTCACAGTACCTTGCTTGTTTGTTTTTCAAAAAAGCACTGTTTTGCAGGAAAACTGCTATTTTTCTGTCTGAAACAAGAAAAAAGAAGTTATTTTTTTTCTTAAGCCAGCATTAACTTCTATGTCATTTCCCTTCTGATTCCTGTATTCCCTTTAAGTTTAATCCCCTGATAATAATTTCTCACAACATAGCTATTATATTTCTAAAGATTTTACTTAAAGATACTACATTTATTTCTTTTCTTTGAGGGATATTTTCAAAAGTGACAACTATGTGTGGAATGTTCTGCTATAAAATTAAAGAAACACAAAAGAAAAATGTTTCCTTATTTTAAAAGCACTGGCCCTAAATCAAAAGGGGAAGTTGTGTCTGCTTGCAAATTTGCTCATTTACATATTTCTATTCTCATCGGCTATCAAAGAAAGAAGTCACTTTTGAAAGCAATTGTCCTTTCTAGCTGGCCTCTTCAGCAGACACCTGCTGCCCTCACCCCCTCTTAAATCACAAAGGTTGGGGAATTCAAGCTGTTGTGTCCTTTGCTCTCAGATCATTCACTACATGAAATTTCACAGTTACATATTATTGGCTAACTAATTCCAGAGGACACAAAAGAATCCTCCCCTACACACACACACACACACACACACACACATTTTGGCTGAGAAACTATCTGGAACTTATAATAAACACCATTATAATTTTTTATTTACAGATATAGTAACGTTGAAAATACTGTAATTTGCCATTGCATTGCTAAAAAAAGCACATTAAAACTTTAGCTTTACAATCATTCAGACTGATCTTTTGCTCAAAGGTACTCTGTGACTCATGGACTCTGTCCATTCAAAACTCTACACATCGTATTCTCTTTTTCACTCACACTACACACCTAACAATGAAGTAGATTCAAACACTGGGTTCACATACAAGTTTACAGAGGAAGCCAGTAATGACCTGCTTCACACAGAATACTAAACCATACGTCAAGATTTTCAATGCTTTAAATCCATCAGGCATAAGGCACAACCCCAGCAGAAGTATAATTTAGTTTTGAGGTGCAGGCAATTTATCTGATCAAAGACCAGACTATTCACTATTGTCAACATATTGAAAACTGCAGTCTAAACGTTCAGGAGAGCTGGAACCAATCTGGGCATGAAATTTTAAGGGACGAATAAAATGTTTTTTACCCTATAATCCTGCCCCTAACATGCTCCCAAATGGCCACGATACATAGGTTCCTTGGTGAATGACAAAACGCTACTTGTAAGCTACCCTCCGTTTTTACATTCTTGGTTTAGCACAGTGTACAGTCCCAGCAATGAGAAAGGGAGATTATAGGAAAAGCTATTTTCCGTTACAATTTAGATTTAGGAATCAGTGCTACATTTTTTTAATAAAACAACATCTCCACTCAATCTTCTTTTTGTTCCCAGATCCTTCACCATTTGGATAGCCCTTTTCTGAATTCTATGCTCCTATTCACAAACTTCAAAATAGCACTTGCTTTTAAGCAGTACATCACACTGCTGATTCACGTTCGATGTGTAGTCAGCTAACACTTGGTGCATTTCACCTATACTAGTGCCAAGACAGATCTTCCCCATCCTATATGTAGCCCTTTCATTCGTCCTACTGACATGCACAAGCCTGTCTAAATCTTTTTTCTCTCCTCTCTGTTAATAGTCATCCCTCCCAACTCTATGTCATCTGCACACTTGATAAGCACATATTCCTACAATAAACTGGAAAATGGCTCTGATACAATATTAGTAAATAAGCTGTTGTGATTTGGGTGAGCTCCCATTCCTTGCCCCAGATCCTGCCCTCCTTATGCAACTCCTTATTTAGAGGAAGGACATATATCTGGACAAGATGGGCGGCACAAAAATTTAATAAATAAATATATACACATCCTCTACCAAGTGTAAAACATTCCGGGTTTATGCAAACATTTGAATCGTGCTCATGGGTCATTGTAATTTGACTACATGTTCCATTCATGCCTTACAGGGCCATAATAATTTTGCAAATGAGGGCAACAGCTTTGAAATTAGGTCCCTTCTTAAATGTGCTTGGGTCTAGTAATGAAGGACTAATGGTTCACATACTATAAGTCAAGTTAACCGTGAATGTACATAACTTTTCAGCGAGCACCCGCCGCACATGCGCCCCACCCCCTGCATGCGCCCCGCCCCCACGCATATGCAGGGTGCAGGGTGGTGCAAAAGGCTTGCGCCTGGAAAGCCTCCTGCACCAATCTGGAAACCAAAATAGGGTGCGGGGGCACCGCGTGAGATCCCCCCGCACCCCATTTTGGGCCTGGAAAGTCTCCTGCACCCCCCTGCGTGCGTGGCAGAGACCCAAAGACCAGCTGGTTGGCGGGAGGTGCGCGCATGCGCGTTGGAGTTGGGTTGGGGCGACAGCTGGCGTTCCTGCAGAGAGGGCTCTGTGTGCCACCTGTGGTTCGCCATCATGGTGCTATATTATTTATTTAAAAATTACATGAAGACTTCAATCATATCATCTTTCTCATGCAACCACCCCAAATATGAGATAATTGGATGAAAAACATATGTATAATTGGCTCTACCTCTCTACATTCATAATGCAATAATATAAAATGCAATAATATAAGAATGCATAATAATATAATAATAGTGCAATAATACAAGAGAGCTAGTTTGATGTAGTGCTTAAGGCATTAGGCAAAAAACCAGGAGATTGTGAATTCTAGTCTACTTTAAGCACAAAGCCAGTTGGGTGTCACCAGTCATGTCCTCTCAATGGCAAATTCTGAAAAACCTTATCAAAAATACTACAGGGACTTGACCAAGAGAAAAAAACTGATTCAAAGATATCTGCAGTGGTGGGCTGCTGCCGGTTCAGACCGGTTCGGGCGAACCGGTAGTTCCAATCAGTGGGTGGCCCCGCCCACCCGCCCTGGCACCATCACGTCCTATATAATCGCTGGGTTTTCGATGTTGTGCACATGCACGGAAGGCGCGCTCGCATTTTCGGTTCTGGGCGAACCAGTTGTTACAACGGGCAGCAACCCAGCACTGGGTATCTGTGTGTGTGCACACACATACATATATACACAGGCAAGTCCTTTTAACAATTTGTTTTCATGGGACTGATATCAACCACATTTCTTGGCAGATATTATTAATGGCAGACCAAGCCTCTATTTCTACTTATGCAAGCAATGGTAAACATATTTCTTATATTCACTTTTACCATGCCAAATCTTACATATTTTCATCATTCTGTAATAACCCAATCCCTTTTAACTGTCGTTTTTCAAATCTTTTTAGCCTCCTTCTTTGTAAGAAAAGTGCTTCATAATCCATATTCAATCTGCAGACCTTTTCTTCATCTTTTTACTTTGATCTCTTTAGCATTTTTTTTTTAAAAAAAAAAACTTAAAACAATAGTTACTCTTCACAGATAAGTTCCCTTTGTTGGGGTCAAAATTGACTCTGTTGCCCCAGACCCCTAAGTTTCAACCATTCAACCAATGATCACAGCTACTTCGTTTGAGCTGTAAAAAATATAGACCACCACCAAATGGGAGCAAAGAGTTAAAGTTTCATTTCATTGCTACCATCTCAGGGATATCCAGAGTTTTGCAGCCCTCATCTGGTAGTAAACCATATACTGTACAAAGAGCAAGATTTTAAGCATTTTTCATTTTTTCATTGTTGGCCTTTAGCTTGTTAGGGAAGTGGGGGGGGGATTCAGAGAAACTGGGCAAAGTACTTGGCTTGAGAAAACACACCACTTTTTCAGGTCTGCCATATCACCCAAAGACAGTCCTTTACAGGGTTAGCTCACTTGGTGCTTTTCAGACCTGGGATTGTTGTGAAGTTTAAAAATACAGTGAATGGATGAAGTAAATATTGTCTGATGCAGTGTTTTATATTTTCACTACTTCTTTCAGACCTCTGTATCTATAGGGCTTTTTCTATTATTTTGTCTCATAGTTTATAAAAGCCATAGTCTAAGGCCGTGATGGTGAACCCGAAGTGGCACACGGAGCCATGTCACCTGGCACGTATGGCATCGCCGTGCAGGTTTCTGGCACACATACGCACATGATGATCAGCTAGCCTTTGTACGTGCGGCAGTGCTGGAAACTGGAAGAGCTGGTCTTCCGTTTTCTGGCGTGCTAGCCAGCTGATTGGTGCATGTGCATGCGCAGCAATAACCAGAAGACTTGCTGGCTGGCATGCATGCATGTGCCGGAAACCGGAAGTACCTTATCCAGCATGCGCATGCCCCCTGGGCAGCTCCTTTTCCTGGTCACGACCCTGACATGTGCGAAGTGCTCCCTTTTCAGCACTCGGTGCCGAAAAGGTTCACCATCACTGGTCTAAAGCATAGAAACTCTCAGCCTGCAACACAGCTTAAAGCTGAAATAAGGCTGAAACAATCACATTGTCAAATTTCCGAAAGATGCCCTAATTAATTCATGAGCCATGATCCAAACTTCAAAGGAAATATAGTCATTTATTAGGAGCACCATTCCGGCAATACTGGGATGCAGTTAGGACTAATCCTACGTAGATTTACGTTCCCCTATGATCCTGTCTCTCCCCTCCTCTCTGGCTATGTCATAAATCACATTCTCCAATTAACCACTTTGGCTGGCTGTGAAACCTAATGCCCTCCTTCTGATTGCGGTCAGAAGAATGTATGGAATTCACTTCAGTTCTCCCTCCCTCCTGCTCATGGAAACTTGAAAGCTTTGTAAGTTGACATACATACTGATTCCCCGAAAATATAAGAATGGTCCAGTTCAATTAGGTAGAAAATTGTTTTAATTCAACATTTTATTTCTCCCAATAGCCAGCTAGATGCATTGTAGTGCTTGAAAGTAAGAGATGGAAATGTACTCCTCTGTTGTTCCATTGGCGTTTGGTAGCATGTTACACCCAACCAAAATTAACACTGACATAAGACTTGAAGCCTTTGATAGACTTGTCCTTCATTAATTCATCTAATCCACTTTTAAAGCCATCCAAGTTAGTGGCCATCATCACATTTTCTGGCTATACATCCACAG